ATAACTGCGGCGTAGGTGGGTTCAGGGAGTTTTCTGTTGCTAATAAAATCATAGACACACACAGGCTAAATTACTTGCATTTTTAAGCATTCTTTAAACACAACATACATATTACAATACTCAGTGAAGGAATACATATTAGAACTAAATCTCATAGAAAAAGAATATAAGAAGTGCGACCAATGTGTTAAACTTAAGCAACACACACGTCATAAACGCCTGCCAATTAGGGCCGTTTTCCAAATATTTTATTAACTTTTATACTACAGGGCCGGCTTTATCTATTTGGTATATATTAATAATTATAATATTAATTTATTTAAATTTGACCAATAAAATAAAATAGTTGCAAAGATTTATTTATTTTAAAATGTAAATGGTAATACACTAATTTTAACAATAAAATAAATTAAAGAATATAAAACAGTGCATCTGTATTTTGAATGGGTTCAAAAGTGAAAGAAAGTATAAAACTTCCCTCCTGCATCGGTTTTGGCCCTAAAAAACGTACATGTATTAAAAAAAGTCCATTAATGGATTAATACATTAATACATTTTATAACAAAAGTAAAAATTTCAATAACTTCTTCCACCAGGGACATCAGTACGCTGGAAATTACTTCAAACTAAACAATAGTCCCTATTAAAGAAAATGTCCCAATATTATTAAGTAGTATTGGTTTTTGCAAAAAAACTAGGTAATCGTAATAAATTACATACAAATTAATTATTTAATAGGTATGTCAATCTCTAAAAAAACATTATAAAAGCAACTGATTCATTGTTTAGACTTACTGTAACTTCAAGGTAAAGCAATACAGATGAAAAAAACTCAAAAAATACTTAAAAGCTTAGAAATAGATCTTTACCCATAGATAACACCGTTATAAATATTCTTTCTATTGTTGTCAGAAGTCAAAACTGACAATTAAAATAATTATTAAAAAAGATGACTTTAGCCACAAAAAGAAAATATGGCAACGTTGCTCGGGAGGCGCTTGTTGCGCATATTCCTTTGAGTTTCACCCCCTTGCTAAATCTTATATAAGAATCTCAGAGACAGTTGAAATTCAAGATATCTTGAATTTCAACTGTCAATCAATGTCTATGCACCATGGTGTGATAACAATTAATTAACCAATTGATTGTTGCACAATATGTTGCCAAATGTATGCGTATTGTGAAAGTAAAAATCCTAAGATTAGATAAAGCATACTTTGTTAAACATTCTGTACATTAGGCTCAATGAGACCATTATCTAAATATTCTGTAACTTTGGCCTAATCTATATTATAAACAAGGTAAACTTATTATTTTAAGTTTAAAAACTCTGTTTACCCTATCATATCTTTAAACAATAAAAGAAGAATTTTTTTAACAATTTTCTGGGATTCCTAGGGGTCTGTTACTGGGATATCCTGTATGTAAGGGGTTTATACCGAGATATGTCTACCAAAGTTGCTCCAATGTATACGACTTATCCACGTGATAAAATATAATGTAATAATGGGTGGGAAGCTCAAAATAAAGCGTAACTAAGACGTAGAATATTATTTTAGTAATAGATTTAATTAACTTAGATGTAAGGTATAATGTTGGTAAAGTGGTCATATAAATAAATTGCGTTATATGTATTTATTTAAAAATAAATATTTTTTCCCAAAACTTATGTGACACGTTAGTTTTTTTGTGAAGTTATGTTTTTGTTAATAAACATAGTTTAGTCATATTTAAAAAAAAATGTTACAATGTTTTGTATTATTCCAAATTGGAATATGTAAAAAATTATATTAAAAAATATTAGAAAAATAATTACGAGCCCTAACCACATAATGTTCGGACACTTCATAATTTATACAGAAATTTTTTTCGTGAATACTATCTCAAAATTATTAGAAGGTATGAAAAATTCAGCTTATTTTGGCATATACCCCTCGAAGCGATTTTTATTTTTAAAAATTTTACCTTTTATTTTTAGCTTTTAAAAAAAGGCTAACTTTTTAACTTTTTTTTGTATGAGTAAAAAAAGTTATAAATGGACCCATTAAAAAGAGCATAAAATATTATACAAACCCTGAAAATTTGGTAAAAAATAAATAAGTTATAAAAAAGTATAAGTAATTTAAAAATGCTATTTTTAAAGAGTTTTTGCAATTTTCTTAGGAAACGGGAGATTTTGCAGATATATATATCGCTATATCTTTCTTATTATTTATACAATTTTTACCAAATTTTCAGGGTTTGTATAATATTTTATGTTCTTTTTAATGGGCCCATTTATAACTTTTTTTACTCATGCAAAAAAAAGTTAAAAAGTTAGCCTTTTTTTAAAAGCTAAAAATAAAAGGTAAACTTTTTAAAAATAAAAATCGCTTCGAGGGGTATATGCCAAAATAAGCTGAATTTTTCATAACTTCTAATAATTTTGAGATAGTATTCACGAAAAAAATTTCTGTATAAATTATGAAGTGTCCGAACATTATGTGGTTAGGGCTCGTATTACCTACTATTATAATAAAATTGTCTACACAGCCCGTCAAAATTAACGCATAATAAGTAAAACAATTCTAAAAGGCTTTTACCAATCTTTATGAAATAAAAATACTTTAACTTATATCTCAGTTTACGTGTTCGATCGTTTTTCCAAAAAATATTTTTAAAGCCCTTTTATTTAATAGTAAAAAAACGTTCAAAAAATAACTTTTAGGGATTTTTTTTAAGTAAATACAAAATTTGCTGTTAACGACCGTATTTTTGTTAGTATACCCTGAAAATTTTGTACAAATCAAACGAACAGTAACGAAGATACGGCCCTTCAAAGTCGGTAAAAATGACCCCTTTTTGATTACTTTGCTAAAAAGTGGTCATTTTTGACGACTTTGAAGCGCTGTATCTTCGTTCCTTTGATTTGTACAAAATTTTTAGGATATACTAACAAAAATACGGTCTTTAACAGCATATTTTTTATTTACTTAAAAAAAAAATCCATAAAAGTTATTTTTTGAACGTTTTTTTTTTACTATTAAATAAAAGGGCTTTAAAAATATTTTTTGGAAAAACGCTCGAACATGTAAACTGAGATATAAGTTGAAGTATTTTTATACAAAATTTCATAAAGATTGGTAAAGGCGTTTTGGAGTTCGAATTTTTTTACTTATTATGCGTTAATTTTGACGGGCAGGGTACTTGCCTATGACAATTAAATATCATAAATGCCTTAACATATTTGATGTGGCATATTATAATGTTAATAGACATTTTAAGGACTAAAACATTTTTTAATAAAATATGACTTAGTTAATTTTTTTGCCACAAAATAAAAATTTCCATATATTCTTATACGCAATGATATAAAAATTGTTTAAATTCCATAAAATAGTTATGGGTTTAGATATTTATTTTGTATAACATTGTGTGCAATTATTAGTCATTTTATTCCAGAAAAGTATTCTACTTTTATAGTGCATGGACACCTGTCCCTTTAGTGCATGGTATGTTTCTTTGATAAAAATCTTAAAAGTACATTAATATTAGAATTTATACATTATAATAATAGTAGTTTAAGTAGTTTAAAATTACTATTTATATTTTTTACTTTACTTTTCCGACGCAGCCGGTGAAATTGGTTTTTGAGAAAACAAATAATAAATTTATTAATTAAGCAGGGTAATTCCCCATACTTAATAATCTAGACCAAAATTACAAAATTTTAATAAACATGTAAAGTAAAAAATACAATCATTGAGAATGTTTTAATTAATTTTTATAGAAATTCAAATATTTCAATTAAAATTATTTTTAAATAATCATTTTTAGGACATCATACAAGTTTTTACATATATAATATAATAATCTTTTTATTTACGACTTTGGTAAAGGTAAACAATGGTTCAACACGTTTGACGCTTGACAGACGCACAAAAACACCTTCTTTATCTCTGCAAAGGAGGGATGATGCGCAGAACTCAATTTTACGTTCTCGGTCATCGTATGTACACGTGTGATGTTCTTATGGACCTCCACTCCTCGAATTCATATGGAGATAAAGCTCCTGAATAAAATCTTCTTAACTATAACCTTTTAAAATTATAATGCTTTAAAAATATTTAAAAATTCGAAATCTTGACCGTTATAACTCGCGACAACTGGCTCTTGCCGTTCAAGAAAAATTTTCACAAATAAACAAAATATTATTTTGCTGGATACACATTGGACATTATGTATATGTTATTTTTTAATATTCATTTTATATACATAATACAAAAAATTCCGAAAAACAGTATTTTTGATTGAAGAAAAGTAACTCCTCAAGTGTTATATAATTTTGGTTAATTTAAAGCACCTTTTTTGAAAATAATTTTTTTTAATACCTATATATCAAAAACCAATGACAGGTAACGCCTGGTCTGTAAATATAACAAAAATAATGATCGTTATATTATTCAGTAGTTTTAAAAAGTATTGCGCTGTAGAAATTAGAGAATAATTAAATTACATTTTTATTTAACTCAATATATATTCCTAACGAGGAGGTTATTCGTAAGTAATATTCAAAGAATCATACACCAGCCCTAATTTTATCCAACGCCTCTTAAAGCAGAAGTTCCTTTATTAAGTGAAACATTATTTTATTTAGAAGGATAGACATGCTTAAATATTCAAAACTATTTAATGTTTAACTACGCTTTATTATTTCGAAAACTGTCTTCAAAATGGAACCAATCCACTTTAATTACAAAAAAAATAGACAAATTAGGTTTTTATATTTATTAACTAGGTAATTTTAATTTTAAAAATTGTTTTTCAAAAATAAAATAATGAACCACTTTACTAAAAGTTTTGCATGTATATTTACTAATTTATGTAACCGCATGACATTGGATGTTTTCCTGTGAGTACTTATAAGTTAATTAATAATAATAAGTGTATAAAAATTGTGCTTAATTAACACAGTTATGTATTCTATTTTTAATTAACGTATACATAATTATTCTGTTTAGGTTGATTTCCATGGCTTATGGTCAAATTGGTATGATTCAGGCAGCAGCAGGTTTCTTTGTGTATTTTGTAATCATGGCTGAAAATGGATTCTTACCAACGAAATTGTTTGGAATTCGAAAACAATGGGACTCTAAAGCTGTTAATGATTTAACAGATTCTTATGGACAAGAATGGGTAGGTCATGAAAAACACTCCTACCTACATAGTATTTTCGAACCATGGTGTCAGAAGTGTTCTATAGTGTGTATAAAGTGTTTAAATTTTACATATAATAATAATAATAATAATAACGTTTATTGTCCAACAGATATAAAATCCATTTACAGAACAATTACATACAAGAAATTAAAATAAGTCCTAATATTATTAAAAAAATATATATACAAAAAGAGGTATAACAAGATTAGACTAAATTTTTTTTTATATATATATTAAAATTTTTGCACATAAAATAAATTGGTGACTTAAGAATAATATTCGACCTAGCGTTGGGGCAGTAAAATGTAAGGTTGGTACGAGTATTTCTTGGTATTAAATAATTTATTTGGTTTAATAATAATGTTTTATAGTATACTAAGCACGTGTACCTGAAAATAGTAATTCCTACTCCCAGTTACATTTAGTACACTATATAGCACTATTATATGTGACCCGTTTTATGTTATCATAGATATTTAAAAAAAAAATTCGTGGGGTCCATCATTGGCACATATGTACACATGTCGGCCCACTTTAAAATAAATAAATAAAAGTGTCTGTACGTGTTTTGTTTTAATAGACAAAATAAAACTTTTTTGTTGAAAATATACACATTTGAAAAAAAAGTAGCAATCAACAACTTTATTTATCAATATTAATTTATAATTAATTTGAAAAAAATATCCTTTTTTACAAAAAAATAAAACTAAACAATGAATTAAATTAAATTGATTTATAAAAATAAACGTAAACGTGAATTATACTGTCGCGACATGTCGGTTGGGTTTTTTTTTGCAAAAAGGAGTCCATTAAAAATAATTAACTATAAAATAAGTTTAATTATAAAATTATAATTTTATAAATCGAATTGTTAAAACGAAATAAAAGACGAATTTTCGGTTAAATTATATCTACCGGTATACCGCGGTATACAAATAATACATACATAATAATAATTTTGCGCGTAACGGTGCACGTGCAAAATGTGTATATTATGTATTACTCAACGTATTACGTGATATTACTTGCAATTACATAATTACCTACATCCAATTTGTACGCCTATTACGCCGGTTGTTTACCCCTCAAAAGTTATTTAACTAAATGCAAAAAAATTGTATATAAAACACAGCGGGGAAAGCTTATTAATTGCCTCGCACACAATCTACTGTATACAGTGAAATGAGGTGTATGTATCTTGAGTAAAATGTAGGCTTGGCAATGATATGTGCTTTCTTTGCCTGGTGATGAAATTGTGAAAACAATTGGTCAAATAATTTATTAAAATAAATATTAAACTATTTAATTTATTTATTTAATTTAAACCAATCCAACTATTTGAAGAATTTGTGTAGTTCAAATAGTTTAATTGAATTTTTATTGTTTTAATTCATTTCTTTTTATAAAGAACTTGTTTATTTTTTAATATTTTTAAATTTAGTGAAAAAAGGTTGATTTTATTACATGTTATATTTTTTATTATTATAAATAATAATAATAAAAAGGTTGTTTTAAAATATGTATGTAATAACAACATACCTACTGCAGTGTGTATTATTACTTTTCATACCTATTGTAAATCAAGACTTTAAAATTAGTGGGATTATTTTTAATTCCAATTCTGTTTAACTAGTCCAAATTCGATAAAAAATTCTTTAAAATTAAAAAATCTGAATTTATAACATAAAAAATTAGGTATTAAATTTAATATTAAATTATTCACACATTTTATTTAGGATTTTTTAAACAATATAACCTTTTGATATACACAATCCGATTTTAAGGAATAATGCAGATGCTATAGCATTTAAACCAATTCTAACCTCATTAATAAATATACTAATTTACATACAACATAGTTTAAGCCATTTTAATTGTTTTAATATGCCTAATTTGGGAAAACATTCTTTTAATTTAACTTTTTTTGTTGCCTCAGTATAAATAACTATAAAAATCAAATTATGCATACTTATATTAATAGTTAGATGCCAATGCATTTTTTCGTTTCTTTGCCATCGAAACTAACAGGTAAATAATAAAAAAATCACGACATGATTTTTTATGCCATCAGTGCACCGACATGTTTGGATATTTATTTTTGCGCCACATTCGTACATTGAAAGAAAAAGTATGTTAACAATTGAATTACCAGTTTTTGCGGTCAAATACATTAAATATTTTCTTGGATGTAAATTTAATAAGAATTTTAATCCAAAAAAATATTAAATGTATTTAACCACAAAAACTGTTGATTCAATATATATGTAGGTATACATACAAAGTATGTTAACAATTGAATCAACAGTTTAACATTTAATATTTTCTTGGATTTAAATTAACTATATACCTATAGTTAATTTAAATCCAAGAAAATATTTAATGTATTTAACAGCAAAAACTGTTGAGTCAACATAATTTTTCTCTTAGTGTACGAGCGTAGCGCAAAAATGATTATCCAAACACCTTTGGCATAAAAAATCACGACATGATTTTTTGTGCCATCGCACAGTCGGGTATTTGAGCGATTTGGGCGGTCAAAATTTTTTAGTGGTTAAATTGGGTCGAATTTTAATATCCTGTTGCTTCTTAGTATATTTAATAAAATTTAAAGGAAAATTGCTAAATATTTAAAGAAAATCAATATTTATTCAAACAAAATTAATTATCACAAATTAAAACTTTTTGGAACTTAATGACGAGTTAGTCAGAAAATGAGTTGCCTTCGTCAGACATTAATTTAGTATCATCTTTAGTTTCCTCGTCATCAGAATTCTGTACCGTATCGCTTTTTGCTGGAAGTTCAACAGAAACAGCATTTCCATGGTTTCCTTAAGAAAAGGTTTAGTTTTTTTTTCCAAAGTAATGGCCTCATGCCTGTTAATAATGGATCGGAAGTTAGCAGTAATCTATTTAGCACATCTTGATTACAAGACACCCTTGAAAACTTTCTGGCAATATTTTGACGAAACAAACAAAAATGTCTGTTTCGTGCTTCTGCAGCCTTCTCAGATAGTTGGCCAATTGGAAGTAATGCGTGCTTTAGTACCGTTGGACTATGCATTAATATTTTGTGCATAGTCGGCATCATAGGACACCATGAATACAGCCGCACATATAACTCTGCTGTTTCCTTGGTAAATTTTGAAAATTTTTGTAAATTAATTTTGTGCTCGCTTGATATTGTTTCCAGAATTACTTTAAAACGCAAAATTAACTTTATATCGATGCCAGTTATTTCAGCTACCAGTTCCGGATTTTCAAAAAACCTGCGGCTTGTGTTTCCGTCATTAGTATTGCCAAATCCATGTCTACCAACAAACCCATTTTAACACGAAAATCCTTTTGGATCTCGGTCTTCCTTTGATTTATTATGGATATATCATCTTTTTTTTTATTAATCTGTACGCCACGTGTAACAAACTTTCAAATATGCGGATCCTAGCGTGCAAGATAGATAATCCAAATTTTAGCGCCTTTGGATTAACTTCTTGTTTTGTTTTTAAATCGTTGAAATGATTTGAGGTTAATCGGATTAACCTCAAAACATTTCAACGATTTAAAAACAAAACAAGAAGTTAATCCAAAGGCGCTAAAATTTGGATTATCTATCTTGCGGATTAAATCCGCATATACAGGGTGGCCGATTTATCTGAAGACATTGAAATATTTCGAAAACTACGCATCGGATCAAAAAAAGTTTTGAATAAAATTTGTTCGCCTGGAAGGGGGCCATCCAATGATACCAAAGTCGACCCCTCACCACCACCCCCTGGGGTGGGGGTGGGGGCAACTTTAAAATTCCAAATAGGAACCCCCATTTTTTATTGCAGATTCGGATTTCCCATTAAAAAATAAGTAACTTTTATGGAAAAACTTTTTTTTAATTCCTGATAGATGGCGCTGTAATCGCAAGAATCCCGATTTTTGGGAATATCTTAAAAAATTACACATCGGATCGAAAAAAAGAAAAACTTGTTTAATTTTTGGATTTTATTCTTATATCAATGAGTTAACATCTATTTTTAACGTCACCCAAGAACAAGGACCAGGACGCAGTAGTTATTTGTTCTCATCGGGGTGCTAGTTTTAAGAGAGTCCCCCTGCCTCTCTCTGTTTAATAAATTAGATTAAATGTTCGAAATTGTGACCTTGAACTTCTAGACACTTATTTATTCTTTTTTCAAATGATTGTACACAGGAGAGGAGCATATCTTTGGAAATTTCAGCACAAGCGTTTCTTATGCGCTGTATCATGTATTCCCGAGTTGTTGGTGCCTGTTGAAAAACCTTATCTTTTAGATAACCCCACAGAAAAAAATCCGGCGATGTCAAATCAGGTGACCTAGCAGGCCAATTAACCGGGCCACCTCTGCCGATCCATCGGCCATTGATATCACGGTTCAATACTTCTCGTGCTGTTGCTGAGTAATGGGCTGGGCAACCGTTATGCTGAAACCACATAATTTGTCGAATGGGCAGGGCAACATCCTCAAGTAGAGGTGGTAGTTCATGTTCCAGGAAATTTCGATATTTGATTCCATTTAAGGTTCCATCAATGAAATAAGGACCAATGAGTTTGTTACCTAAAATTCCACACCAAACGTTAACCGACCAGGGACGTTGATGTTCAACTTGTCGTAACCAGTGGGGATTGTCCACACTCCAATAGTGCATGTTATGCCGATTAACGGAACCATGGTTTGTGAATGTGGACTCATCTGAAAATACTACATTAGCGAAGAAATTGGGATTTCTTTGTATTTGCTGAACTGCCCATTCACAAAATTCTACTCGCCGATGAAAATCATTGCCATGAAGTTCCTGAGGCAGTGAAACCCGGTATGGGTGATACTTGTGACGATTCAATATTTTCCGAATACTATCTCTGGAAATCCCGAGATCCCGATGTATTTCCCGAGTGCTTACATGAGGGTTATGTGGAACAGCTGCTATCACATTAATTTCATTAGCTTCTCCTGTGACAGTGTTTCTATACCAAAGGTATAAATATGTTTTTATAACATACCTACATATTATGTACATACCTGGACGCATTAGTAAGGTATAAATATTTTTAATTTGTACCAACATAAAAAAGGAATTAAATAATTTAATTTATTTTGAATTCCCTAACAATTCTCGTATACACTAATTATAATTTTTAATGGGAAATCCGAATCTGCAATTTTTCAAGATATTCCCAAAAATAGGGTTTCTTGCGATTACAGCGCCATCTATCAGGAATTTAAAAAAAGGTTTTTCATAAAAGTTACTTATTTTTTTATGGGAAATCCAAATCTGCAATAAAAAATGGGGGTTCCTATTTAGAATTTTAAAGTTGCCCCCACCTCCACCCAGGGGGTGGTGGTGAGGAGTCGACTTTGGTATCATTGGATGGCCCCCTTCCAGGCGAACAAATTTTATTCAAATTTTTTTTTGATCCGATGCGTAGTTTTCGAAATATTTCAATGTCTTCAGATAAATCGGCCACCCTGTATATAACAACGCAAAGTGGATGTCGTCTTTGTAGCAGCAATACACACCATACCATCGACCATGGTGGGAATCATTATATAAGTGACATAATAAGTCTTGTCCTGTACTGTTATCATAGAAGCTTGTAAAGAATTAGTTGCATTTTCTACATGCTCGATTTCTTGAAGAGTAATATCAGTTGTCTTTTTCACAAATCTTATCCTTATTGGTCTACAATAACGTGGCGATGACGGTAATGGATTCTGTCAAATCACCTTGTTATTTATGGAACATATGAGCTGCAGTGGCACAAATGAGCTTTGAAATACGCTTGCATCCGAATGGGCCACATTGTAGAATGTCTGCTTATATTGAGCTTGCTGAGATCCGCCACAACCCCATTTGCATCTCATTTCTAGTGAGTTTCTTTCTTTATCTAATGTTTATAAACCTTGACCCAAATACATCAACAATCTTTTCGAAGTGTGATCGAGTAACGCTTGAATATTAATTTCTGCACAAGTCTCATTCACATTGATTAACTCCTTATCCGGATAGCATTCGATTTTGGCATATTGGCTCCTGGAAAGGTTGGCTTCAACAAACAGCGACAGCGCTTGTGTAGGCGTCATTTGAGATCCTGTTTTATCCCCCTGCTGACTTACAGAATATGCTCGTTTGTATTTTGTAGCCCGTTTTGGTGAAGTAATTATTTCTTTAACTATTTTGGCAGCGTCCCTTTTTCCAGAAGCTGATAATTTTATTGAGTCAGTACCTCCACATCTACTATGTTCCTTAGTTCTTCAGTTTTTCTTCTTTTTGATCTCTCACTTAATTCTTGAAATAATTTCTTAGGCCGCCCTGGTCGACTAGTAACTTTCAAAATTGTGAATTCGCCTTTCAACCAATCTTTATTCTTTTTAGTAAAAGACTTGAAACGTAAAAAATTATGCTTGATTTCCTTTATTTCGTCAACAGTGTAGTCATCATAACCTATCAGGAAATTTTCCATGAAATCAAGTTTCTCATTAATTGTGGAAAAATTTTGTTGCTGCATCTTGTTGAAAAGGTTAATTCGAGTAAAAACTTTGACATTTGATGGACCTAAGAGAAAGAAAAAATCATTAGAAACATAAATCAAGATTTGCTAAATAATTTTCATTTTGGACCTTTACAGTTTGAACACACTAATTTCCAAAAACCAAGTGATTCCGTGGCAGTTTTAAGCAAAGTCGTAAACATGAATAGTCATGATATATGATACAAGTTTTTATTTTGCCGGAAAACTCCGGGAAGTATAACTAATTTGGTCCTTTTTAAAAATTATAAGCCAAACCAAAAGCAATAACAAGCTATTTTAAATTTCACATATAATTATTATTAGGCTCATAATAGAAACAACTAATCTTAATAAAAATATCTGAAAAGTATGCTCACTTACCTGCCATCGTATAATCCAAAACAATACACTTAAAATTAAAACCCAAAACGAAACTATCACCTTTGAAAAATAATAATTTTGAAGTAACGCCGCAAACGACAATTGCACTTCAAATGTCAAAAGAGTTTCGACTGACCGTGAAGGTATGTTTACACGTGTGGGACGGTAATAATGGAAGAATATTGTTCTCTTATGATCATTCTTTCGCGGAATAATTTGTTTTTCTACAGAAATTAATTTTTGAAAATCTATTTTTGACGGCCCAAATTGCTTAAATACCCCGCTGTCAATCGCAAACAGCGATGGCATAAAAAATCACGACATGATTTTCATTTCTCACGCAGTGACATCCGGATGGTGTCCGTATGAATAAAATATGTGAAAATCACGACGTGACGTTCGTATGATTTTCATTTATCACGCGGTGACTTCCGTATGATATCATTATGAATAAAATTTGTGAAAATCACGACATGATGTTCGTATGAATATCACGAATGTTGTCCGGGCATCTTAGCTACTTTAAAATATCTAATTTACTTGAATCTATCTTGGTTACTTTACTGAGTAACCTTTTTAGAAACAAGTTACAAGATACTTTTCCAAAGTAACTAAGTTAAAGATACTTTCAGTCCTACATAAAAAGTATTTAATATAAAGTATCTTAGATTCTTTAAAAATCCAAGTCACTTTTAAGTAAATAATAAACTCAGAAAAAACATTAAAAAAAAAATTATTATAAAAAACGTTTATTTTTTATTTTTGCTATTTATTTCATTAACCGCATCCTAAAAATTACCACAGGGTGCAGTTAGTACCTCTGCCATAAATCCGACGCTGTATTAAACACCATAAGAACACTTAATGACACTATAATAATAGAACAGCACACACATACTGAGCAAACATTAAAAACACTCTAGGGACACCATAAAACACTATAAAAACACAATAGGGTTTTTTGACAAGGGATAACTTCAAATTTTAAAATCATTTTTTAAAATTTAAAACACGTTTGCGTCTCAAAAATGCCGCATGCTATAGAGGGGGTTAATAATTATTTATTTATTGAATTGGAAAAACAGTGGGCATAAAACGTCACATGGGGATTTTTTTATATGTCAAGTGTCGATTTTTGTGTCGTTTAATTTAAGGATGTCGATCATAAGAAATTTTTTCGTAATAAGGAAAAAAAAAGAAATTTTTGTCAATATTTGTATTATTTTAATAGTTAATAGTTAAAACTAATTGATAATTTCATTTATTAGGTGTTGCATATTTAAGCACATAGGACACATCGTTGCCGAGTTAACTCAAAAAGTGCTTGTGGAAAAAAATATTTTGTACTAGTTCATATTAAATTAAACAAGTTATACTGTGAAATGTATTATTTATTTTGTTTGTAATTTCAGACCTACCGCGACAGAAAAACATTAGAGTACACATGCCACACAGCCTTCTTTGTTTCAATTGTTGTTGTACAATGGGCTGATTTAATCATCTGTAAGACCAGACGTAATTCAATTATACATCAAGGAATGAGAAACTGGGCCCTGAACTTTGGATTAGTTTTTGAAACAGCTTTGGCTGCCTTCCTTTCATACACACCTGGAATGGATAAAGGTCTTCGTATGTTCCCACTTAAGTAAGTATAAATATTTTATTATTAATAATTATAATGTATCAACACATTTATTTATTTTTAATAGAGATAAAAGAGTAAAGGTTCAAAAAATCATACCATAAAGTACTTCGTGAACCATACATTTATAGAATTAAATGATTATTATATTTTATTTGGCCTTTAAAATCAGGAAAAATAAAATAATTTTGTATTAGATATACAGGGTGTTTCAAGTTAGTGGCCCATTTAAAGTTTATGGGGAACGGCAAAAGATTGAAATATTTAAAGCGTTTATAATCCAATTTTGAACAATATGCCACTTCCGGTTTGACAGGAAGTGGCATCAACTTTGTTATTTCAAATAGAAAATATTTTTAAATTATACATAAAATTCTGAGTAAAATGAATAAACCATGTCCTATACGAAAGTGAATTATTTTTGGAATCTTAAAACATTATTTAAAAGATTCCATGTCAATTCTTTAACAACCCAACAAATTACTTGAGAAAAAACATGGCAAATTAGTCTAACTTGAAACGTAATTTTATTTTTTTTTATTTTAAATGTAACATTATTTAAAAGATTCCATGTCAATTCTTTAACATAACCCAACAAATTACTTGAGAAAAAATATGGCAAATTAGTCTAACTTGAAACGTAATTAACTTTTTTATTTTAAATGTAACACCCTGTATGTTTTAACATAATCAAATAGAAAATTAAAAAACATTTTGATTTATGTAATGTAATGTAATGTAATGTATTCCCTATACCTAAATTTAATACTTTCAGAGATATTTAACAATTTATAATATTAGTCAGAAAGAGCAAGTCTAATGTAGAAACTGGAATTAAGAAATGCCTGAATGTAAATGGAGGCACTTTGAACATTTATTAATAAATTGGTATACCAATTTTTAATTAAAATATTGTTTGTTTATTAAATTGTTACAGTTACTCATTCTTTTTGTTAAAATATTTCCTAAAATAAGTTTTATATTTTATTGCCTCCAATGAGCTAGTGCTTCATCTAGTTGGCATCCCACAGCTTTGTTGATTTTTTTTAGAAGATGAACAATACGAAACCCAATAAACATTTTTGACGTAATTGTCACCATTAACATTTCCCGTGTAAGAATTTTTAATACTTTGTGATAATATTTTGCAATTATAGTAATAAAAAAAATCAAAGGATAACATATTTTCTTAACAAAATCATAAATTGAAGTTAATTTAATATTTTAAAGTATTAATAATTGTTAAGTTTAATTAAAATTAATAACGGACAATGTTAATGGTGACAATTACGTCAAAAATGTTTATTTAAATCGTAGTGCCATTTATAGATTCCCGTACCGTAAGGACGGCATTCCTTCCTCCCGTAGAAAAAAGTTTTATCTTTCACCGTAAAGGTCTTTGACATGACCAATCACAGTGCTTGTTATGGACATGCGCTGTAGGGTGACAGCGCGTAGGCACAAAATATTTAAAATACATGATTGTTTAGTATTATTTAAGATATGTGTATTAAATAATTTGTGTCTCTAAATAGGATATTTAGATATTGTTTATAATATAAAGTGCTCTTTTAAAGTGCTCTTTTAGTTCCACCCTTACATCCAAACTAAGATGTCCGATAAGCCAACTGAATGGCTTGTGCGGGTTAGGGGTAGGAACGGACCGACGGCTTAAAGTCCCCTCCGAAGGACTATTATGATCAATGTCTTTCATTTTTAGAAACGTTGCTTTGCAAAACCCCGTAGATTCCCGGTCTTGGTAAAGTGGGCGAGTCTTCCAACGTCTTGTTCGATGTTTTTTTTTTTCATTATTATAATACAACAAGCTGCCTGGGCAATTAAAATTGTGATCACTGCACTAATATATAAATGTTTATCTTTTATATTTACACACAATGGGTAAAACGCAGAATATAAACAAAAACAAATGTCAACCATTTTAGGTGTCATCGCGCATGGTTACGGAATTTTAAACGGAAATCTATAAATTGACTTTTTACAAGTCGTACAAATCGTATGGACACGACTACGGGAGGAAGGAAGAAAGGCAATCTATAATTCAGGATTTAAATTTTAAAAATGTTTGGTTAACTATAAATCTGCTTACTGATAATATATAATAAATTACAAATAATTTTATTTCAAACATTTTTATTCATCGTAGAAATTAATTTACATATAAAAATAAAATAATATTAAAACGAAAATATTCTACATAATATGTATACATATTATGTAGAATATTATTATGTAGTTTTATTATTATTTTATTTTTATATAGGTATACCTAGGTAGCTATAGCTATACCCTTATAATATAATAAAAAATAAATATCAATAGGATAAACTTTATTACATGACATGTTTTTAAAAATAAAAATATCAGTACCTTGTCCATTGTTTAAATTTTGTACATTATTGTTAAATCTTTGCTTCTGAAATTGCAATCCGCGTTGGTACTCGCGATATCTTCTTACACGTCGCCGAACGCTTGCTCTGTCCTCCATTTGTCCAGTATTTAATAATAAACTACAAAGTAAACTTTCTGATACAAAATTACAATAATTATAATTCGACAATAACTCGTTCGTTGTTACCTACCTTAAGGGAATTCTTGCAATTATATTAAAAACTAAACTAAACCTTCTAGAACGAGCTGTAAACGATTTTATTCAATTGAATTTCTAATTCATTAAACAATTCCAATTGTTTTTGGTAAAGTGAGGTTATAAATATATTAAGGTTAATTTTCGTCCATGTATCATGGAGCAGACCCACCTTGGGCCATTACAGAAGATTGCAATATGCAACATATGTTTATTTGAAACAGCTTGCGCCAATATTGGCCCAAGATTTATCTCCCAATACTGACATGCCCATACTGGGGCCCATACTGGCCTGGCATTATTCCAGATTGATTCAAGAATAATTTTTGACTGGGCATAGATGCCGTCAACTCACCCGTCACAGGTTTCTTGATACAAAATAATATTAAAATTTTTAGAAATTGTTAAATATCTCTAAAATTATGAACTTTAGGTATAGGGAATAGTTACATTAATCGAAAGGTTTTTTAATTTACTATTTGAATTTGTAAACACATTAACGTTTCAAGATCGCCTAATTTTCCCTGGATTTTCTCAGGTAATTTGTTAAAACATGTTAAAGAATTGACATGGAATCTTTCATACAATGGTTTAAAATTACAGAAAATACAGCCCCATATCCGTAAATCTAATAACAAAAAAGTTATAGGCTATTTTTGATTGACGCGCATTTGTCAAATTTTAACGAAAAAATATAATAGTGTTGTCAGGTATTTTGAATAATATGACCGGTACCTAAACTGTTTTTTATTTATTTTAAAATCAAAAATAACACCAAGCTTTATTACTCCAAAACACCGCTCTCTTCTTCTTCTCCGTCGGGATGGCAGCTCCCACATTTACCATCCGTGTAGTGGCGCCCTCCAGTGGCCACCTCACCTAGTACGGCTTTTTAAACTTACGTCTAACATTTCGGCCATCCTGCAAAATAATAATGTCCTCATTATACCACCACCTATGTTACCTAAATATTGTAGAAGTCTCCGATTTTAGGTGCTACTGGGCTCCGTAATATTTACTGTTAGTGCTCCAATTGTCACTCCTATTTTGATCTTAAGACAATTTCTCCTACTCAATTGTCAATCACCAATTTAATTCCTGCGAGTACCTCTCCAGCTATACTCTCTTTTTGTTTTGTTGCTGAAAAGGAAAGAAAGTTTATTAGTAATACACAAACCATTTTTTTTGTTACTGAAAGGGAAAGAAAGTTTATTAGTAATACAAAATCATTACATACAACATTCTCAGACACATTCTTTCAAGGGGGCCCCACATTCACTCAGACTCGCTCTCACAATCACTCATTACATCATTAACACTATTGTATGGACGCAATGCATCCACTACGACATGCGCTTTGAACCTCTTACTCCTTTTATGGCTTCAATGACATATCGGTCATTGCTGTTTACCTTGCACACCCTGAAAGGTCCATCAAATTTATTTGCAAGCTTGCGATTTAGGCCCTTTTGACATTTATTCGTAGCTCCGTGCCTCCATAACACCAAATCACCAATTTTGTATTTAGTAGCTACTTTTCGTCGTTTGTAAGCAGTTCTCATCTTATGAGCAGCATTTTGTATATTTTCTGCAGCCAATGCGCGTTTTCGTGTTAGTTGTTGTCGCAAATCTACAGCTTGTGCGAGATCGTCATCTCTAAGCTTTTGGGTGTTAGTTGATTTGCCTCCTATAGTCTCCTTGCTACCTCCAGCACCCGACAGGCTCTCCTCTCCAGCATCTCCTGATTTTCTTGTGGTCGCTGCAGTTTTACCACCTTCCTTTGCCTGTTCTCCTTCTCCAACATTAGCGCGTTCTCCAGTCTCCAATTCAACAACTAAACCGCGACTTTCTCCATGTGCAAACATTAATTCACCAGGTGCGAATTTCGTACTCCTGTTTATTGTATTGTTTAATCCCCATACAATCTCTGGTAATTTTTCGTCCCACCTAGCTTCACTAGAGGTACTTGCTCTGATCGCCTGTATTAAACTCCTATTTACTCTCTCCACTTGCCCATTTGCCCGAGGAGCCAACCCTCTGTCACTAATAACTCTCCTGGGATATCCAAATTCACCAAATATCTCCATCAGTTTCTCAATAGTCTCATTTGAATTGACTGTTCTAGTTGGCTTTGCTATGACAAATTTCGAGAATCCATCCACCAACACCAACAAGTAGGAATTTCTCCTAGTGCTCTTCATGAATGGGCCCAAATGATCGATATGCACAGTGTCAAAAGGCACTGGTCAACGTTTTGGCAATCACAGAAAATCCCTCGATAAATTTCCTGTAGTAGGATGCCAATCCAACGAATTGTCTCACCGTTCGTACATTTGTCGGACAAGGAAGATCAAGAACAGCTTGTATTTTTCGTTTTCCAGGCTTTATGCCTTCACCA